TTGTTCCTTTTGTTGCTAAGTAGTGTTCCATTTTTATTTATTTACCTCTTGATGGACGTTTGGGTTGTTTCCAGTTTTTGGCTCTACTTAGATGCCTTCTATAAACATTAACTTATAGGTTTTTGTGTGGACATAGGCTGCTATTTTGGAGGGCAAGTAGGTAGGATGGGATGGCTGGGCCCTACCACAGTGTATATATTTATTTACAAGCAACTTCTAAATGTTCCCAAAGTGGCTTTTCCATTCCCACAATCAGTATATTATATTCTGATTGCTCCATATGCTTGCTGGCACTTTTTAACCTTTTAATTTAGTAGGTATGCAGTGATAACTCTTTGTGGTTTTAGTTGCATTTCTCTGTAACAAATGATGTTAATTAAGCAGTTTTTTGTTTATTTGAGAAGTTTAATAGTCTTTTGTATTCTGTAGATATAAATAACTTCAAACTGTCAGTGGCAATTGAAGTAAACTTTGAAAAAAATTGGTCAAAGGTCACTTTCTTCCAGTCCGTACCATATAACACAAGGTTGGAAAGTGGAAATTACCAAATTTTGCCGAGGACTAATCTGCTTGGGTGACTGATGATGAGACCCAGAGAGACTAGCCTTTAGAACTCGAGCATGAGGATGAGCAGAAAACAGATTTCATGGCCCTGGTGGCCTTGAGAGGACAGCTCAGATCTCAGCTAAACCTGATGTTTATGGAAGCAGATGTAGATTCAATTACATTTTCCAGGATGTCCCAGGGGTCACCTTTGACACTCAGCAGTCCTCTGTGAACCTCCGGAGTCTGTAGTGGATGCTTGCCAAACACAGAGCTCCCCTCTCAGGGGGCAGTTTGCCTGAATCAGTTAATCAAGCTTGAGAAATCAGTTACCACGTGCCCAGGAATGCCACCACCTTAGAATTTTGAAACCCTGTTTCACATGTCCATCTTTTTGTTAATTAATTAAGCATGCATCCCCAGAGTGTTTCCTACAAGCCAGTACTATATTTGCATACCAGGAAAACAGTGCTGAAAGAAGCAGGAATGGTCTTTTTGCTGACTTAGGTAAGACAGTTCCTGTAAGGGAAAATTGAGGTTGGTCTCAGAGCACCAAGGAAGAGCTCCTGACTCAATGTCCTTGCAGAGGAGGTGATCTGAAAAGGACTCCTGCGGCAGTGACAGCTACGTGGAGATCCAGGGTTGGGGAGGAGTCAGCCAGGCAGATGGTGCTGCAGACAAGTGTTTAGGCTGAGGAACTGCACCTGCAATGTCTGAGTGGTTGAAACCAAGAGTATGCAGCACATCCTGAGCCTGTAATTCAGAGCTCCAAGGCATTGCTGTGCAGGGGAAAGTGAGGTGATGGTCAGAGAGCAGTTGGAGGCCCAGCAGGGAAGCCTAGTCATCCTTGGTGAAGGCTGGGTTCCATCCACAGAGTGATGGCTGGTTGACAAAGGACTGGGGAATGGCATGTTCAGATACTTGGATTAGTGAATAAGTTTGGGTGCCCTGTGTCAAGGGGGTGGTGTATGGCAACACTGGAGTCTGGGAAGTGGCTGTTGTCATCCAGGAGGAAGGTGAGAGTGGCCTATCGACAGATGATGATTGTGAAGTGGGATCCTTTCCAGGCCAGTAACTGGAAATGTGTATAAGGGCAGGTGTGAGTGTGCTGTGCTTTGAAGCATTGAGAAATCCAGTACATGGTACTACTTTTCTGGTTTTGGTTTGTTTGTTCACTTCCTTGAAAAACTGATGTGGAAATGTCGTATTGCCTTTAATTACCTGAACAGAAGGGTTCAGGGATTGACAAACTTTCTTCTTTGGTGGCATTGCTCTCAGAATTGATTATTGTGTTCAGAGATGTACCATGGGTAGAAGTTGTGCAGGGGAGGCCAGGAACTGCTAAGGAGGAAGAAATTGGGGCTGAAAGTTTGCCTGTTTGCGCACACCAAAGCCAGAAGAATATTTCTACTGCTGCTCTGATACACTTCTTACTAATCTCTTCTGTGTGTTTCCTGGGAGTAGGGGTGGGGTCCTCAAGATCAGAACCTAATTTATAGACCCAGAAATTCAACGTTTGGGAAAATGCTTTCCAAGAAAACTCATCCTGGTCTTTCTTTTCTCCTTTTTTAAAGAACTGTGGTGTCTTCTCTTCCTCTGAATTTCTCCACTCGGTGCACTGAGGCATTTCAGTGCTTAGGTTTGGCCCTCAGGACCCCAACACTAGACTTCTCAGATTCTGATTTCCTGCCTTAATCTTCTTACCTTTCCGAGAGCTCACAATGAAATTTGCTAGAAATTGGAATGTCTCATTTAGGTAGGATGTGCCCATTTCTCTGGTAAAGAGTCGTGGTAAAATTGAGAAACACCAGTGGGAGGAAGGGAACTTGGATTTCTTTGGCACTTATATTATGCCATGTACTGTGTTGGGAACTTGCTTTGATTGTGTTATTTAGTCTTTAGAATGCCGTACCAGGCAAATATTGTCATCCCTACTTTATAGTGAGGAAACTGATGCCCAGAATACATAACAGCCTTGCCAACAATGCATGGTTGGGAAGCTGGGGTTAGTTCACTGTTTTGGTTTGTTTGTTCACTTCCTTGAAAAACTGATGTGGAAATGTCGTATTGCCTTTAATTAACTGAACAGAAGGGTTCAGGCATTGACAAACTTTCTTCTTTGGTGGCATTGCTCTCAGAATTGATTATTGTGTTCAGAGATGTACCATGGGTAGAAGTTGTGCAGGGGAGGCCAGGAACTGCTAAGGAGGAAGAAATTGGGGCTGAAAGTTTGCCTGTTTGCGTACACCAAAGCCAGAAGCATATTTCTACTGCTGCTCTGATACACTTCTTACTAATCTCTTCTGTGTGTTTCCTGGGATTAGGGGTGGGGTCCTCAAGATCAGAACCTAATTTATAGACCCAGAAATTCAACGTTTGGGAAAATGCTTTCCAAGAAAACTCATCCTGGTCTTTCTTTTCTCCTTTTTTAAAGAACTGTGGTGTCTTCTCTTCCTCTGAATTTCTCCACTCGGTGCACTGAGGCATTTCAGTGCTTAGGTTTGGCCCTCAGGACCCCAACACTAGACTTCTCAGATTCTGATTTCCTGCCTTAATCTTCTTACCTTTCCGAGAGCTCACAATGAAATTTGCTAGAAATTGGAATGTCTCATTTAGGTAGGATGTGCCCATTTCTCTGGTAAAGAGTCGTGGTAAAATTGAGAAACACCAGTGGGAGGAAGGGAACTTGGATTTCTTTGGCACTTATATTATGCCATGTACTGTGTTGGGAACTTGCTTTGATTGTGTTATTTAGTCTTTAGAATGCCGTACCAGGCAAATGTTGTCATCCCTACTTTATAGTGAGGAAACTGATGCCCAGAATACATAACAGCCTTGCCAAGAATGCATGGTTGGGAAGCTGGGGTTAGTTCATGTCTGCGCTTCTTCTGCTTGGTTAGTTTTTCTTTGTAATAGCAAACCTATATTCCAGTCTCCTGGATGTTACCTGGGGACCTGAAAAGACTCATGTAGCTTATAAACCAACTAAGTGATTCCTGGAGAGCAGTCTTTGTAGGAGAAAAATCTAGCTAATTGTTTAACTGTTTCTGGAATGCAAGCCCTATCCTAAGCCATTTAGAAGCCAATTTGGGATTGTAAGCTTGCATCTCACAAAGCAATGCTGGCTCTTAGTGCTTATGAGACCAGTTGACATTTTTAAATGATTTACTGCCTACTGATGTGGTGGTGCTGGTTTAAGTTCTCCTGTTTTTAAAATAAGAAACTTTGGGAGCCTGTGTTCCTTGGAGGTTTGCCGAGCAAACGTTAAAGAAAAGATAGATTTTTAAGAAAAAAACCTTGACTTATTGGATTTCTAATGAATGAATTACATAATTGCAGGTCACCCCTTTTCAGACATGGCAAATTCTTCCAGTTTCTTTTCTAGAAGTTTTTAATCCAAGTCCTTGCTGGGTAGGAGACAGAGGGATACGATTCTACTAGCGGTTCATGTTTGCACCAAGATCTCCTTTGGATTCATGGATGTTCTGCCTCATTTTTGGTTTTGTATTCACGGCAGTTACTATAGTCTTAGCTCCTTTTGCTGCTGGTTCCAATAATGCCCAATGTCCCACCTTACCCCCATGCCACTGTCAAGTCATGATAATTAACTGAGTCAGAATGTCATATCTGTTGTTCATAAGAACCCTTCTTGCTCCCGCATGGTGAGATATTCTGAAGGAGGCGCCTGTGATGCCAGACAAGGAGTAGCCAGGCCACATGTTGAAATACAAGCTAGGAGGGTGCATATGTCTCTGACTATGGGAGCTTGTCAGATTCATACACGCCACATTGCACCTGCCTCAGCAAACTTGTTTCTCCATGGGATACTTTTTTTTTCCAGGGAGATTCAGTTCTAGGACTGTCTTTCTCACCTGGGGGCCAAGTGTTGGTGACTCTTTCTTGTTGTTGTTGTTGTTTGGTTTTGCTTTTGGTGTTTACTCACAGTCCTCTAAGATGTCCTGAGACTTTCGAGACTGGGAAATAGTTCTATTGAATGGTCCCATTTATCACTTGAAGGAACCACTTTGTGGCCTGATAAAAGTTTTGTGTGCAGTAATTTTAGAGAGTAGCGCAAATCACTACAAGGTTGAGGCAGATTGATAAATACTGATGACATTTTATGTAAGAGGGGAGGTACTTTTTTTAGAGAACAGGAACTGTCTCTGGGATTCATTATGCCATTTCCATCTGAAGTGCTTGGCCACCTAAAATGACCCACTAAGATCTGTTTTCATTTACAAATGATCATTCCAGTAGAGCTAAGAGGATTAGGACCTTAACAATAGCTAGAGAACCCTCAGACTTGGAGTCCAGATTCATGATTTGTGGAAGGGAAATCCCAAAGCAGACTTGGGTGCTGGAGGTCTCAGATGAGAGGGCTGGAGTGACTGCCCTCATTGGTTTATGACTTTGCAGTTGTAATTGACAGTTTTTTTCCCTCCTTCTTTATCTTTCAGTTAATGACCAGCCACAGTGTCCCTGCCGTGAGCTCTGGCCACTGCCTCCGGGGCTCCCAAGCCACACACAAGTTTCTGTGCTGTTGGAGGAGGTAACATGGCTTGTTGGCCTCAGCTGAGGTTGCTGCTATGGAAGAACCTGACTTTCAGAAGAAGACAAACAGTAAGTGTGGGCTTCTCTGAGACTTTTCTCCATAGTGTTGGGTTGAGGTTGAAGAAGGGAGGGAGGAAGGCAGTGCTCTTGGTTTTCATACAGTGAGTAAGTGAGTGTAGCACTCAGTAAGTGGATTCAAGATTGTATGTGTGGTCCTGGCCTACTGTGTATAGAAGGAAGATTTGCAGCCAGGCAGAAATGTTGGCTTTGTTTTATTAGGGTGCAGGAATGAGTTCTGATCTCTGGATCCTGGGCTCAAAATTGCCCCGATCACCACACTTTCTTGTTGCTGCAGCTCAGGAGCCCCCTGGTTCTCCAAGACCACCTCATGGGCCCCTGTATTTCAAGCAATTCATAGCAAAGTAAGTCAATTGCCAGCTCTTCAAGATCAGTGCCCCGACCTCTCAATATCAGCCTGTACTCCTTCCTTATAGCATTGACTGTAGGCCTGGAAGAATATCATAACTTAGTCTAGTCTTAGTTCTGTGGAGAAGTCTAAACAATTCACTTCGTAGGTGGTCAATAGTGCTTTGGGTAATACTAAGAAGAGCCTCTTCCGTGTGTAGGTGAATCATATTTTTGCACAGATGGATATGAGAGCTATAGGGAGGGTAAACTTCCTGAAGTTCAAGCATCGGCTCTTGACTTCTTCATCTCTGATCACTATTTCTTAGTGATTCTGCTTAGTCCTTTGGGTTTAGCCAGTTTACTTCCCTGAATTTATTTCTTGTCTAGTCTTCTTCCTGAATTCTAAGCCTCCATCCCCACCCCTTTAGGCTGTCTTGATGAAGCGGAATCTGTTTGTAACCAAAATGATCATCTTTCTGAAACTCAAAGAGCTCTGAAAAACTTTGGAGAAAAATTAATTCAATGTTTTCCAAAGTAGAGTAATGTTTGGACATTTTTTAAAAGGACAAAAATGTCAAGGTATCCTTGTATTCACTAAACTTCTCTTTATTATAATGTTTCTTAAGCATGTTCCACTGCATGAAAACTAGATATGCATCCCTTGTCCTAATAGGCTCTGTTGCAACTATATGACCCATATATATTTACACGTTAAATACAAAGAAAATTGCACAAACAATACAATTCAAATTAACACCATAAAAGTAGTAAGACCACTGATGTCTAGCTGAAACTCAAATTGTAAATTACAATGTGAATGTGGTAGCAGATGTGTATAGCTGATCATTTTGGGTTTGGCCCTTCGATATTAGTTTGTGCTAATGATGAATTCTCCATCCATTTTTCTTCTTGAACAACTCTCAGTTGATGTCATTTGTCCTCCATTTGGTCCAATCTCATTGTTCATAAATTGAGTCTGCATCTACTCCTTTGTCATTAACCTGATACAATTAAACTGGTGCTAGCACAATCATACAATCAGATATATACTTAGGCTTTAAAGACATGCCAGAATTTGATTCTAAAATATTCAGAAAAAATTAGATCTTTTTATCACAATTTGTTTAGATGACCATTAAAATGAAAACCCCAAATATTTAAAATCTTCATAGAGAATCCAAGTATAACCCTTCAAAAATATTACCACTTTTAGTTTGAGAAGTACCAATTTTGTTTGCCTTCTCATGTTACCAGTGGGGGCATTGAATCACCAAATCACTACTGAGAGAGCAGAGACTAGGATCTCTCTATCTGGTATGTTTAGTGAAATATAATGCCTAATATATTAATAAAATAAGAACCTTTAGATTGAGCCTCCATGTACCATATACAAAGTGGGTTATTAACTGGATTATCCCTTTTAAGGCCTTATCAAATGCTGTTTTTCTTCATGCCATCACTGAGGAATATGATGCAGAGAGAGGTTAAGTGATTGCCAGGAGTCCATACCACTAATAAGGAGCATATGTGGAGTTCAAATCCAGACATTCGGACTCCAGAGTTGGTAATCTACATTGGTATGGCAGATTGCCTTTTTTTTTTGGTACTGGGGATCAAACTCAGGGCCTTGTACTTATAAGACAGGCACAATGCTACTGAGCAAAATCCCCAGCTCGGCACTTTGCCTTTTAGTAGTACTCTTATTTTTTCTTTCTTCTACCTACATGCAATCTTGAAGTTTTTTACTTCTTTCTTGCCTTAACTCCTGCATGTTACAGTTGGTCTGAGGAGCTCGTGTTCCCATGTCTAATATGTTTGGAGATATCCTCATGCTTAGCAACTATGTGGTTTACATTTTCTGCCTCTTCTCAGCCTGGTGGGCAGCAGCCCATTTGGTGGAAAATTGTCTCTGCCATGGTGTGTCCATTAGTAAAATGTGGAAAGAACCATATCATTTTAGCAACAAAAGCGGGGCTCAAGAGCAGTTCTATTCAAACTTCTGTTTTTACAGATGAGGAACCTGGGACACCAAGCTTGAAAGAGATTTCCCAAGGACAGCCAAGCAGCAACTAAGCTGGGACAGAAGCTGAAATCTCATTCCATTCCATTGCAGTGGACTTTCTTCCCTCTTCTGAGTCCTTTGCAGCTGCATAAAAGTGCCCAGCTTGGCAGTGGAGGAAATGTCAGGGAAGAGGCTTTCTATGCTCAGGCAGGAAAGGAGTTGGGAGCATAATGTCCTGGAACAGGATGTGGGGTTGCGTCATCGAGCCTGGGCCACTATCCATCCACTGGCTTTAAGCTTGTTGCTTCTTGTTCAGTATTGTTGATGCCTTTAAAGGCATTAGAATTATAAAGACGGGCCTAATTAAAGACAGTTTGTGGCAGAGATCTTGTGGAAGAAGGATGTATGTTCCCTATAACATGACACAAATGTCTTTTTAAAATTCTGCACTGATACCTGCTAGCCTGTTTGAGTCACCTCCCTTCCTGATTTCTTTTCTTATTTTTTTTTCCTTCCTGATTTCTAAAGGAAATGCATTTTGCTGAATTAGAACAAAGGGGAGTTTATTTCAAGTCATGGAAGCTTAGATGGTCAGAGCTGGAGCTGTAAAGATCTGTCCTATTCCTTGTGTAGTTAATTGATGGGACTAAGGTTCAGACGTTTGCTGGGGTTTGGATCGAGTCAGTCATGAAAGTAGCACCAGAACCAATCTCTTGGTAGACCTGCAGACCAGGTCCTTCTTTTCGGACTTTGCTTTCTCTACTAAATATTTTGTAATCCTGAGTCTGAGATTCTGATTGATATCTACTTCCTATTCCACCTGGCTTGGTTTTCTAGATTATGTTCTTTAGACATTTGAAACTGTTAAGGCTTTTGGTGCCATTTTGTTACCTCACATAGATCTGGTCCTGCCCATTAGGTACAAATTCAGCAGCCCCTTGATGGCTCTTGCCCACAATGCATGGAAATTCATTGAGCGTTTCATTGCTTCTAAGATTCTGGCATGTATACACTTAGCCCTAGAGCCCAGCACAGAGCTTTGCATATGGGACATGTTTGGCAGGACTTTTCTCACTGACTGCTAAATGTGTTGCTGGTCCATTACCTTTTAGTCTTGAGAAGATGCTTGAGTGCTGCTTCCAGGAGGAATAGAATGCATATATACAAGCCTGGAGCTGAGCAGTCTATTCCAGAGGAGCCTTGTTGCAAGGCGCTTTGCCCATCTCATTGACTTTATTTGTTGATGAGTCCTGGAGACCCCTGTCCCAGGCCTTCATTGTGCAGACTCATGGGACCATCAGCCAGGTTAGCTTTCCCTTGAGCAAAGAGTACAATGAATTGAGTTACGAAAGTTGGGTGCAAAGCTCAGTTTGGGTCCAAAGTAACAGTTAACTTGTGTGGGTGGCCGTCATTCAACACAAACAGTGTTGGAGACAGGGAAGGGGGAGGGACTCCAGAGCTGTCAGGGTCTTCATCTGGTTTTAGGTGGAGCCAGAGGCCAAGGTATCCATGGAGCATGTGGGAGAAAGTGATGGTGGCCCAATAAGCACCTTTTCTTCAGCCTTTACCCATAATTTTTCAGTCAGATCTGACCAGTCACATAGGTGGAAAAATACATAATTCTAACTTTTGCATTGCTAAGAGTACTACTACCTGGGAACTCTTTAATGACAAGGAATAAGCTATCAAATCAACCAATCTCCTTGAACCAGTAAGAGAATCTCACAAGAGCTGATTCTAAACCCAGCTTGTCCACCATGCACCTCAGTGGCCTAGGAAAAGTCATTTCTTCAGACTTCTAGTTTTCTCTTCTCTGGCATGAAGAAAATCAGAACAAATAGCTACTTACTGTTACATTTGTGTAGATATTTATTGAGCACCTATTACGTACGTGTGGGATATTGCGCTAGGTAGATAGTGCTAAACCAAGTGGACATGAACTCTGCCCACCGAGCTTGCAGTTTAGCGAGGGGAGTTGATGTGGAACATAGCAGCACATAAACAAGAATAGGACTGAAGCTGTGAAGAGTTGTGGAGGAAGCAGCCAGACAAAGGATGGCACTAACAGGTGTGGGTAGAGATTTCACTTAGAATGCAAGGTCGTGACATTTCAGCTCACAGCCCTGAAATTTGAGCAGCAGTGTTAACCAGGCAGAAATTCGGGGTTTCAGAGATGGAGACATTGTGTCCCAGGTAGAAATGCAGGGGTACGTGTTCATGGGTCGAGGAACATACGGGAGCCAGAGACATTCATTGGTGGAGTGAAAGAAGACTAGCTAGGCACGGGTTGAATATAGATAGGGTCAGATCATACAGGGCCTTGCAGCTAGGGAATGGAAGTGGACCATAAGCCCAATTTTATTTTAAGTGCTAAAGGAGTCCCTGAGGTGGGTGGGCTATGGGCCCTAGGGTGGCTTTTGTGGTGCTTAATATTGAGAAAATTTGACTGATGAGAGTTCCAGAAGCAATTATAATCATTACATCCATATATACCATTTTATGCTTTTCTTTTAACATTATTCAGTATATATGTTCCCATATTTCCAAATAATGTTCATATTCATTCCTGACGTGTAGACTGTGTTTGAAAGTACTTTGTGTAGGGCTGGGGATTTAGCTCAGTGGTGCTGCCCCTGCCTCACAAGCGCAAGGTCCTGAG